TAGATAAAAATCTGATACAATACATAGATGGAAGATGAAGAGATTGTCCTAGACTGCTAGGAACAATCATTATAGATACCCCAACACACAACTGCCTACTTTAGGCCCTGCTATACTAGGTAGACTTAATAATTATTCTAACAGATCCTCATGGTCCTATCACTCTCTTTCTCTCAATCCAAACAATCTCCTAACATACACAATACATATCCTATCAAATACATTATTGTTTTGACAACTCTTTGGTGGGATAGTTGTAGGGTAGAAGGTAGAGTTACAAAAAGTAGCCATGAAAACTTTGATCCTCAAATGTAGTGCAACAGGATGTGAAACGAATTGGAGCACATTTGACCTAATTATTAAATGCTCGTGTATGTGAAGTACAATCTTCAACTTGAGATAAGACAAAAAGAGTAGGGAAGAGAAGGGGGGAACTTATAATACAATATCTTTGTCAGATACTAAATCGAATTATGATTGCATCATTGAAAAAGAAAATCCTTGTTTGCCTATTGATTCCTCGTGTATGGATGTACATAAGTGTTTTTATGTTGAAGAGGGAGCTCCATGCAAAAAAGGAAGAGAGGACTTGGAAATGCTCAACAAACTAGAATTTATAGATCTTATATCTTAAATGTTCAACAAACTAAAACTAAAATTTATTTGTTATTCTTTTGTTAATATAGGTCTTGGAAACTTAAACGCCAAGACCAATAAAAATGGAAAATCCATAGTAGGAGACGAGGAAGAAGTTGAAGACATTGAGAAAGCGGAAGAACTGTTAATAGAAAATGAAGATGACTTGAATGATGTATAGATATTAGAGATGATGAGGATGAAACATGAATGATTAGGATAGTTTTTTTTTTTATGTTGTTTAGTATGTATAAGCAACAACCATAGTCTATGATAATTATGCATCAGCAGCATCAAAAACACTTATTTTTTGGATGACTATAATTCAAAGTTTGTTTAGTAAAATATAGTCATCCATGGTTGTAGGAATCTTTCGCAGCAAATACACTGTTTTTTTGAAGGTTGTGTTGCTGAAATTGTGTAGTAAAACACATAGATACAACCACTCTTTTTGACTGTGGTTGTTTCGTTATTAATTGTATCTTTGCATCTTTTATATATCTTGTATATTTAAGTATATGTTATATGTTACATTTTTTAGTGCTTATGAATATTACTATTCATAGATTAAAAATATAAGCTTTCCTATACATAATTTATATCTAGATTCAACTACCATGGCCAACAGCAATAGCTTTCTTCAAGTAGGGAAGCATATGACATTGATGATGAACAATAAAATATAAAATGCTGAATTTAACTCAGTTAAAAGGTTCTAATAACTGAATTTATAATATTAATTAGTGTTTTTTAGTTCCATGAAAAAATATACCTGCCGAAGGGTCTTTCTATGATTCAACGCATATGTTATTTCCTGCTCATCAATTCCACTTTCTTGAGCTATGTGTATAGGAGGAACAGTACTTTTACTAGCCACATCAAATGAATTCAATGTATCTTCATAGCCATAGTGCAGCAGGTAGGAGCGGACAATTCTGCTGACAGAATAAAGATATCAAAGTTGAGAAATATCAATCACATCTGTTTTTTTCTTATTAACATTGGCTCCCATGAAAGCAATGAATGTCACTCTCAAACACCTAGGGCTAAACAGATTAATCTCAACCTTCCTAAACCAGCAGTGTGCAACTAGTGAAGACCAGTACTTCCTAGTAAATAATTAGTAAACCACAAAAAGATTTTGCTGTCTGCATTGAATTTCACATAGTAACTGTATTGAGCTTAATAAGAGTCTCAATCATGTTATATTGTAAACTAATTTACAAATAGCAGAACCTAAATTCTAGCAATTACATCTGTCTGTTAAATTTCTCCAATATGATACAAGGGGTATGTTTGAATGGGCTTCTCATTAAGCTCTCCTAAAAGAGAAAAATGAGAAAAAATAAATTAAACAACTTCTCCATAAGCTAAAATTACAAAAGTAAAAAAATTGGAGGAATTATTAGAGAGATTCTGCAAGCTGGTTCGTGCACAAGCCACTTTTAGCTTATGAAGAAGCTAATTTATATTTTTCTACTTGCTTTTCTCTCCTAGAAGAGCTTATGGAGAAGCTCGTCCAAACAAACACATGTCAATCAGAAACAGAGGGCAAAACTCAATTATATGGTATTCACCCTACAATATTTTGTTCTCCTGTGCCTGTGGATCTTCTATTCTTGTTGTAATGTTTGTCAGATAAATCATTCTCAATATAATACCAGATTGGATCAATAGGAAACAATAGATAAACCAAGTTCACGTATGAATCTACGGAATTATGGTACCCCACCGTTTTCTTCTCACTCCTTTCACAGGCTAAAACTAACGATACTGTTTGCCACAAAAGAACAAAAACTCATCCTATACATAATCCAGTGGAGTCAACAGAGCCGTTGGATCATTTCAAGTGGAGAAACCACCAATGAAGTATCGGGAAGGGTGAGTCACAAATTGCAGCAAAAAACAAAAGGCCATTTTTTACAGACTTTGTAAGTACAGCCAAAATCTGATCATGATCATTTGTAACATAAATAAATTTGTGGACAAAGTAATAGAAATCTGCACTTATATGTACACAAACGTGTTGATTTGTCCTTAGTCCTGAAATCTTACCCTGCTACTGACTAGTAACAACAGATATGAACCCAAGAAGGATCCTGGTTATTAAGGGCATTTAAAACTGCTAGTAAGCTTGCACTACTTAGGATTAAAAAGAATTGAAAATAAAGAACATGATCAACTTCAAAAAAAGTAATGGAAAACATAGTCTAATACCGAAGTTATTCAAATCAAAGACAATTTTCTCTCACCCGTAACTGACATTTGGTGGCACAGAAATTTCCTCTATTTTCAGTTGCTGCTTCATTCTTTCTTGTGCTTCAAATTCCTAATCCAATAAAATAAACATTTAAGAAAAAGGAATAATAAACAGATAGCATGTGTAAACTGTTACCTTTTAAACAAAAAGATCACATGAAATTAATATATGTATATTAGTAAAAATCACATTGAAACAATTAATCTACCATTAAATCAAAGTAATGTCTTAGATGCATAGCATGAATGATAAGGTTTTCAAAAGATCATGTTTAGGGGTCAGATATCTTGAGCATAAGACTAAAATATTTGTGGTTAATCCGTAACACAATTGACCTAAAAAATATTATTAGCATAGAATTTGATATTAGAAAGTACATGGAGGTCTAACTCAGTCTTACAAAATTGGTTTTGTAAGATAAGGTTTTCACTCACTTATATGCTATAATTTGGTCATATCTTAAGTCAATGTGAAATCTTCAACAATTACAAATATAATTACAATGAATCTGTAAAGTTTTTACATAATAAAACGTTTTAAACATTTAAGTGTTTATAATAAAATATTAGAACATTGAAATATTTTAACAAAATAAATTTATATTTTAAGAAATATTAATTCATTCTTGCGAGCATAGCATGCTTTATGAGGAATGACATCAAAGAATAAAAAAAATTTAGAACATCTAAGCTTCCCAAATATTAAATACGTCCCATCCATATAATTTAGGTTTCTTAACGTATAGACATCACCAAACATAGCAAAACCGTGGGATGCAAGGAAGATTTTTTTTCACCTGAAGACACATAAATGTTCAACAAAATGAAACACAAACAGGCACATTGAAACACATCAAAACCTTAGCCACCAAGGTCTTGCCATGAACACTCAAGTTATGGTTGGTCCCACCTTTACACCCTCAAATGATGTTTCAGTTAATAGAATTATATTTTGTTTAAGAGTTCAGGAGATCATTTAGAGTACTCAAGTGATAAACATACTGCATTTATTGTGTTTTAAGTATGTTTATAGAAAAAGCATGACGCGTTGGTTGGGGTAGTTCCCCCTCAAACCAGACAAGAGCAAGCATATAATTTGTCATGATGAAAGGTAACTATTGAATTAAGTAACTGAGTTCGAAGTAAATTCAAAGCTTTGACTTGTTGAAAAGATACAAATTTACAAGATGTTGTAATGACATTGAATTAGCAAGTAGGATAACATGCTGAAGTCTATGGTGGAAAATGTACATAAGAGTAAGGAAAATATAAAGAAGGCTCTTACTTTTAAGTCGAAAGTAAATGGTTTCTGCCCAAAGTTAACATGCACCCTGTTAGAGATAAATGAAACACACCCCTGAAAAATTAAATACCTCTAGTAACGATGAAAAGAAGGTGCTGTTTGAAAGAAAAGAGTTAGTAGACAATGTTAGCACACTCAAATAAACGAAAACAGGGAAAGAAAGCAGTGGCAGTACAAGTGACTTACTCCTCATTTTGGCTATGAACTGCTATAGTAGGAAAAAGGGGGCCTTTCAAGTCTTTGTAAACAGAGCCGACAACTTGGCCATTTTTACTGGCACGGAAAGAAGAAGGGAAAAAGTTATATGATAATAATAGTTTTGCTTTGAAAGAAGAAAGTAGAAGAAGAGTGGTGGGAATAAGTGGTGTACGTGAAAAAGAATTCCTGCGCAGCGTAGTTAATTCCGGCACCAACTACATCACCAGACGTATAGGTTGGACCAAACGCTTCCCCCTTGCCATGTCCACGGTAAAGAAGACCATCGTCACCATGATAGCCGCAGCTATTGGCCTCCCACCTAACATAAATCAACGGGATTGGGGTTAGGGTTAGGGTTAAAAAAGTGAAGCAGTGGATCAGTGAGTGAGTGAGTGAGCGAGTGAGTGACTGACCCTGGCTGCCTTCGCATCTTGAATGTCTCGGAGGTGAAGCCAATGGAAATTTGACCCTTGACGCCGGCATCCTTGACATGAATCTCGAAATAGTAGATGAGGCGCTTGGTAGGAGAAGGCTTGTTGGCCTGAATGACGCCGACATCGTGGCCGTGAAGGTTGACGTTGGTGTACTTCACCGACAGCTTGTCCGTTGACACCACCACGAAGCCACCGGAGCTGTTAATTGTGTTGAGCTCCCTCGGCGCCTCCTCCTCTTCCTCCTCTTCCTCTTTCTCCTTCTCCTTCTCCCTCTCTCTCATCTCCCTTCCCCTGCACGCTTCCAAGAAATACAATCCCAGATCTTGATCTTCAACATTTGGCTTCCTACTGTTCCCGTTACTCTCACTCATCGCTCTATCAAATTCTCGATTACGATCACCTTCACAAACCCTACCAACTTCTTCTGTTCGATTCTTCTTTCAATTTCCTTTCCACTCCTCACCGATATTCTTTCTTTCCTTCGATCCCACACCACCGTAATCACTCTTTCTCAACATTACCAATAACTTATATTAAATATATTTACGATTGATTATAATATTTTATAATTTTTAATTAGCCATAAAAGTATATTCGATAATACTTTAATTCGATAATAACAACCTGATATAGATTAACGTTGGATCTCCGTAGAAGTATATAACTTTCATCAACCATGTTTTTGTTTTTATTTTTTATTTTGGTCAGTTAAAACAAAAATTAAAGTTTAAAGACAAACTATCCCATGTGTAACATCCTAAAATACAGTAATTACCATAAATCAGAATTAATTACAATTAACAGTAAAATCATGCAGTCTTAATATTAACAACGGGTTCAAAAGCCGAATGGTTCAAAATACAGAATTACAAGTAATTAGGACGAACGATTTTACAAAAAGAATAACCGGACATCCAATTTCAAAAGCTAACTACTAAAACTATAAAGAAAGAGCGAACGTCCTATTGCTCCGCTTTCACTTCAACTTCAACTAGGTTTTCTTCTTCGATCACATCTTCTAAGGTGGCCTCGCCTTCTGCTCACATCCACACGGATGATCATTGCAAGACAGGACGAACGTACATATACAATGGACAACACAAGGAAAACGAAAGGGTAAGCTTATATAATTTAATTCATACAATCAACACATACAATTAACATTACATTTCACACACAGCATGTAACTTAACATAGAATATCATAGACTATATGTATATATATATATTAGAGAGACCGTCCGGACTGTATGAACCTGTGTAGTTACAAGCGTCCTTGCACCCGAGTGATGTAGTAACTGATACACTCTCAACAGCTGCCACTCGAGGTTAGTCCGTTCTTACGTCGCCCATGTTAACTTATGGACTAAGGACCTCCTGCCGTTCCCACACATGAACTACCCTCTTCTACGTGAAGATGAGTATCACGGAACATCAGGATGGACAGCGAGTCTTAACTTATCCACAGTCATACTTTGCCAAATTTAATATTTAATATATGCAAGAGACGTTCCTCCCTGGAACGCTCGTCCAAAATCCATAATCATAGAATCACTCAATATAGTGTTCACACTGAAATTTCTTATAATTTATCCTCATTCTCATCTTTAGATTTAAGAGCATAAAAGGACGAACGTTCAGTCCTTTGAAGAATTAGGACGAACGTCCAGATAAAGGTACTGGATAAACGGAAAGATATGTAATGAACGTGACTATCTGTTTGGTCAGTTAAATGAACTGACTCGATTGGAGGTATACTGGTACTTAGAAAAATTTCATGATAAAGACCTTGGACCAGATCTAATGTAAAAAGGATGATCACGAATACTTAGAATTATATTTGTAGAATTTTGTATATGGAAAACCGATGCCAGTAATGAAACGAACGTAAGGAAAGATGCATATTTTTAATACTTGAACGAACGCTATTTAATTCGAGGTGTTACTCAATATTACGAGCGCTTGGTATGAGACCGAGCACCGCTTATGACGAACGCTGGGTAGATGACCGAGCACCAATCATGACGAACGCTTGGTATAAGACCGAGCGCTATTTCGAATGAACGCTTGGTATAAGACCGAGCGCTATTTAGGACGAACGCTTGGTATAAGACCGAGCGCTATTTAGGACGAACGCTTGGTATAAGACCGAGCGCTCCGGCCTTCTTTCTCAAATCCACGATGATCATGCAAGACAGGACGAACGTACATATACAATGGACAACACAAGGAAAACGAAAGGGTAAGCTTATATAATTTAATTCATACAATCAACACATACAATTAACATTACATTTCACACACAGCATGTAACTTAACATAGAATATCATAGACTATATGTATATATATATATTAGAGAGACCGTCCGGACTGTATGAACCTGTGTAGTTACAAGCGTCCTTGCACCCGAGTGATGTAGTAACTGATATCCCTCTCAACACTTGCCCACTCGAGGTTAGTCCGTTCTTACTTTCGCCCCATGTTAACTTATGGACTAAGGACCTCCTGCCGTTCCCACACATGAACTACCCTCTTCTACGTGAAGATGAGTATCACGGAACATCATGATGGACAGCGAGTCTTAACCTTATCACAGTCATACTTTGGCCAAATTTAATATTTAATATATGCAAGAGAACGTTCCTCCCTGGAACGCTCGTCCAAAATCCATAATCATAGAATCACTCAATATAGTTTTCACACGAACTTTCTATTTTATCCTCATTCTCATCTTTAGATTTAAGAGCATAAAAGGACGAACGTTCAGTCCTTTGAAGAATTAGGACGAACGTCCAGATAAAGGTACTGGATAAACGGAAAGATATGTAATGAACGTGACTATCTGTTTGGTCAGTTAAATGAACTGACTCGATTGGAGGTATACTGGTACTTAGAAAAATTTCATGATAAAGACCTTGGACCAGATCTAATGTAAAAAGGATGATCACGAATACTTAGAATTATATTTGTAGAATTTTGTATATGGAAAACCGATGCCAGTAATGAAACGAACGTAAGGAAAGATGCATATTTTTAATACTTGAACGAACGCTATTTAATTCGAGGTGTTACTCAATATTACGAGCGCTTGGGTATGAGACCGAGCACCGCTTATTGACGAACGCTGGGTAGATGACCGAGCACCAATCATGACGACCGCTTGGTA